TTAAAGACACTGACTACATGCAGAGGTTTGGAATCCCACAGGACATTTGCCATTCTGCCCCTGAGTAGAACATGGTTTCACCCCATCTTGTGTACTCTTATGGCAGTTTGTCTACATGACCGACGTGCAAAGCAAAATGCTTCCCCAAAAGAAGGCCGAGTCAAGAAATGAATATTACTCTTTCTCGAAACTTTGTTTCTTAAAGTAGCTTTCTTCTTTTTATGCCCATGTATTTAACCAGAGGCACAATGAAGGGGGATGTAAGACAGAGAAAAGAAAGATCCAATATAGAATCTTGAGGGAAATACAGAGTTGTTTTTGTGCTCCATCTTGCCTCAGTAAACTTTGAAAATGTTCCCAATGGAGGAGATGCACTTATGGGGCTGGGAGTACAGAGATCTGTTGGGAAGATGGAAGCAGAGCATTGAACTAGATCAGCGAAATGTGCCGGCCATTTCCTTGTTCCATTGTCAGCACTCCATAGAAAAAAAAAAACATCAAATATTGAGAGGGTGCATTAACATGGGCCAGAAATTGATGGCTGCTCGGGTGAGGGGTAAAAAAAAAGAGAGAAATGAAAACAGTCAAAGAGGTGGAAGATGCCATCTTGACTCGACTTTGTGGAAGCTGTGGAAAGTTTTCTCCATCTTGAAAATTGGAAGTCTGTCAGGTTTGGTACAGTATGCGAAAACAAGAAGAAATGTTGGTGAATTATTTGTTTTAAGTGGTTATGTTAATATGGATGGATGACTGATTGATATGTTAATCAAATTTAGTTTTCTTTAATGCATTAATGCATTAATGCACCATGCGCAACAGCAAATGGTACTGCAAAAATTGCAAGACACATTTCGCAAAACAGTCCTTGGTCTTCCACTTCTCTGACAAACACATAAGTCTTATAAGTCAACATGCAGTTCTTTCTTATAGCCATTGCTGGCCATATGCTAATCTACAATCTAAGAAAAGTCTGTAAAATAGGGCGCGACGTATTGTAATATAAAGGAATTTTCTGTATTGATTTTTCACAGGTGTTTTAGACATAATTTGAATTATGCTTTGCATCGTGTTGTGTTTTAGGGTTCAAAGAAATGGGACTTTTAGGGTTTTTGTTGCTATGATTTTTTTTTTCTTACAGTGAAGAATCTTTACATTAGTTTTTGATATATTGATGTCTGGGACACAGTTCCTTGGTTTCCTTGGAAGTTATAAATAGATTGGAAAAGTCACTTGGGGGAATAAAATGCCTCGCTTGAGGCCAGAAAGCTTCCATAATACTTTTATTTATAGATGTGGAGCATGTGATGCAAATATTACAGTGAAACTTAATACCAGCAGAGGAATCCCTGTTGATAACTGCACTAGATATTTATATGGGTAATCTCTTATGTAAGATGCAAATCAAATTAGTGACCCACACATGCTCTTGTGACCACACTGACAAATGACTTTGGAGCCATAAAATTATGGATTTGTATCTGTGAGAATCAATGTTGTCTCTAATGTTCAGTGCTTACACAATCGGGCCTAAAGGTTACTCTATACTGTATGCTTATAATAGCTTAATGTATTATAGTAGTATTTTGCAGATTACAGCTGGACGATGGTATAGTTTACATTTTGCGACGATGTAAGCAATCAAGCTGTTGAGATAGTCTGTATACTATACATACTACTACTATACTATATCATGTATACTATGTATACATGATTATAGTTGCCAAGGGAATTCACGATAATAAAACATTGCCATGGTCATCTGTTTCAGGGAAAATTCAATGCACTCTCAGCTCCACTCACTTTTAGTGGACATTTACAAGAATCATTTTGCCGAAATGCTGCTACATTCTCATTTTTTTAGTATTTTCTTAAAGCGTTACTCAAGTGTTTTTGTTTATTTGCTTGTTCGTTTTTAGATATTTTGAAGTTTGGATATTTTTGGTTAAAAAAACACTCGAGTATGAAATTAAGAAAAGACTACATGTAATTATGTTGAGATTCATGGACATGGCTGTCAGTTTTCCTGTTTTTGCTCAATTTTGAGTAAATATTGCATTAAAAAAAACGATGTTTAGCATTTTAGCATTTACCATCTCATTTGGTTTTAAATTGTGTATCATTATTGTATTCTGCATGTATATGCTTTATCAGCCATTGGGCATCTGTTGTCTAGATACCTGTATTGGTAGTTTTGAAAAATCCATATCCATCAAGCACTAGAGATGATAGACAATTCGTGCATAAGCATAGGGTACTGTAAGCAATCAAATAACTGATTTATCACTTGATGGTTACAGCTATTGCTGACATAACATATGTTAGCATAATATTGTGGCTTTACCATTTTGAATTCATTTAATGGTGCATGCACAACATATAAGAGAGAGGATGGTATGACTGTAAATTACATGCCTTGTTGTCCCCCACATCTCCAATGCACACATTACACGCATGCATAAATGCACATACACACTCACATGTGCACAGTGTAGTACTGTTCAGTCAGGGATGAATAGATGAGGAATGCGTCTAATAAAATATTAAGACTTGGCGCTCTTTTATCTATATCATATGACTATTGCTGCACAAGTGAATCTATTTCTCTCTTTCTGTCTACCTACCTCCCCTTCCTCCCCCACTCGCTTATTTGCTCATTTTATTATCAATTCACAAGTGACTCTCCAAAAATGTCTGCCAATCGCTTCACGTGAAACATAATTACACTAAAGGAGACTAATGATTGGCTCGAACGATTCCTAGTAATTCCATGGCAATTTCATTGTGTGATTCAAACAAACATGTGTTCCCGTGTGGATTGCATGCAGCCAGACAGATGCCTTTGCTTTTATTTGACAAAGGAGCGGAAAAGGGTTTCATTAGATGTGCAGGCACAAATCTCCTTTAAAAACACTGCACTGTTTTTATTATTTTTGTTTTACACGTCACTCGTGTTTGTGACGTGCCACGACACAGCATAAAGACAGTGAATATGGCTGGAATATAAGCACAGCTAATGTCTAGGCTGGTTTCTCTGGAGAACAGGAGATGTGAGCCATTTTGTTGACTGAGGCACACACGTCTTTGTCATCACTTGGCTCCAACTCCCTGCAGCTCTGGCAGCAGATGGTTAACTGTGTTTTCTTAGTCAACACCACCCTCTATTGGCAAGAATGGTTAGAATGATTTGATGATTAAGAGCATCTCCAAACTATGTCGCAGCAAATGTTTGTAGTTTGTAACTTTTAGTCACAGTGAGAGAGCACCTCTTCGGCAAAGCCTTGAGATTTGCTCTCTTTTTTGATGTATTTCCTTTTTAAACAGGAAGGTTGGCTTGGACAGTTTAAAGCAGGGTTCCTCAAATCTTGCCCTGGAGGTCCAATGCGCTGCAGAGTTTAGCTCCAACCCTGATCAAACCCACCTACCTGTGATTTTCTAATGATCCTGAAGACATTGATTAGCATGCTCAGGTGTGTTTGATTAGGGTTAGAGCTAAACTCTGCAGGAAAGTGGATCTCGTGGGCCAGATTTGAGGATCCCTGGTTTAAAGGGTTTGGTTCTTGAACTATGATTTGTGACTTGCTATTGTTAGTTGCTTTTTATTCTTTCAAAAATGCATATGTATCCCTGAGTGCCGATGAGCCCATATTCCTATCTCAGTTTGCATGAAGATAAAGGCTGTAAATGATATAATCTGTAAATGCATGTATCTACATATATATGGCCAAATTGTATGTTACATTTTACACTTGCATATATAGATGGCCTCCAAGCTAATAGGCATGCATTAAACCCAAATTTAGATTTTTATGGGGAATCGTGCCATCATTACAGGTGTGAAATGTGTAAGATGTAATATATTTATGTAATATATACCTTTTTTTTTTAGAAAAAAGGGGTATTTGAGAGGGATTTATCAAATAAAGCATGCTGCAATGGGCCTAGTGCTCTGAGTGATTTTTGTAGGGTAGGCAAAGGGCATGTTGTGACACTTGTTAACCCAATTCATTCTTGTGCATGTTTCATAATTTGTGAGCATGTTCCTCTTCCTCCCGTAGAACTTACAGCAGTGATGGCAAAGGCTGACTTTGCCAGAAAGCAACACACTGTTAAAATGTTCAGACTCATCCAAATCATATGTCTGCTGCAATACATTTCTCCAAAAGATAAGGAGAGGTCATTGATTATATAATAAATACACTTTCAGGATTAAATGCATATAAATAAATATCAGTCCCTTATCTAGAGTATATTATAATATGTACAGTAAAACTGATCTCAATAAGCAAACCTAACAATGGTTTTATTGCTTTTTGTGTAAAAACAATTCAACAAGCAGGCCACTGTGTGGATCAGCACTGCCTCTTAGCTGAATTAAAAGAATGCAAACTTTAAATCTGCAGTAAATGAAGTAGATTACATGTTTTTTACATTTCGGATTTATTACACATGTTTTTCTAAAAGGCTCCGGAGCGCATGACGTCATATTATGATAATTGCAATGTTCGTAGAAATTGTGACCGTGGCTTGGAGTCTCCTCGACTGTCCTCAGGCTCCCAAGGGGAATTTTTCATTTGCATTTGTAAATTGCTCTTACATTATAAACATGATTCTTGAATACATTAAACACAAACTGGTTCTCAGAGGCTGGGGTGCAAATAAGTAAAGGTGCGGTCACTGCAGATTTTAAATTCTATTCATTCCCATTCATATTATGCTTCAGACTAACCAGCCTTGAAAAGAACAGATTCGTCAGTAACCAGGCTTTGTGTGTACCTGTGCAACCCACACTTCAAATCTCATCTTTTCAACTCCAGTTAGCTTTTGGAAGCTAACACAGAGGTCCACTTACATTTTTCATCTTACATTGTAAATTATTACTCAGTGTATTGAGTAAAACTGTGAAAAGTAAAACATTTTTTATTATTATTAATTTAGTTCAAATGACCTGCCCAACTCAATCCGTCTTTAGAAACCCCTCAAGACGCATCTCTTCCATCTACAGTTGACCTTCTAACACTAGAACTCTCAATTCTATTTCTATTCTATCTACTTGTTTTCATTTTATTTATTAAAAAAACTGACCCTCTAACATTAGCATTCTCTATTCCTTTCTGTTGTTTTCTTTTTTATTATTATAAAAATTGATAATAATAACTTGAAAAACAATTCCACATTATGTTTTCTGCTACAAGTCAATCTGGGATTTAAAAGGCATTCTTAATTCAACTCTGAATTGAATTATGTGTGTCCACATCAGACTTCTTAAAGGGATAGTTCACCCCAAAATTTAAATTCTGTCATCATTTGCTTCTAATTTGGACTTTTAAATTGCTTCCTGTCTGATGTGTTGCGTTTTTGTTTTTCCCTCATTACTCCCTGATTGTGTCCAGGCGTGTCTTGTCAGCTTGTGTATTTATGCCAAAGCCACTAGAAGGCAAGCCTGCAACCTTTAGCCGAAAAAGCGTAACGGCCAAAGCTAACGCTTCCGGTCTGGCAGTACATGGGAAAGGAGACCAGAGGCCGTTTTTTTTTTTTTATGGATGTCAATGGAGGAGAGGCTTCACTACGCTGAATATACAGCTTTTTAGAGGAAACAGCTCATCATTTAATGAATCGAAAGCCTATCGGCTAATCCTCAACATGTTTTACACTAAGCAATACTTTTAGATGTAACTATTTTTAGAGTTTACCACAAAAAAAATAATTCTGTTTTATAAGAGAAGTCAGTGACTTTTTGTGACAGGTGGGATGCAGCTTATGGCATTTCTCATTCATTCCTATGGTATCTGTAAACGGCGATTGAGTGTCGCACAATTCAGTGATGTTAAGGCTGTAATGTGATTGGTTATTAGCAATATCAGTTGATTAAAAACACATAAAAAGCAGTATTTTGCACAGATAACTCCATATTATCATGTCCACAATTAGAGATTGGATAGTACTGTGTGCACCACTGCATTACTGAGACACAGACAAACATAAGTGCTAATAAACAACATATTACTACTGTTTCTCTTCTGTTAATGAAAAAGCAGCCAAATTGGATTCTGAAGTTGGAGTTGTTGCATTTCCTCCATGATTAGGAACTCTAATCATGGTCAGAACTCTTGGGAAGGCATTCCAGTTAAAGTTCCTACTGGAAACTCAGAATTTTACAAATGGAACAAACTATTAAACCCCATGTGTTTCCTGTGTTCATGGTCAGCTCTTGTCCATTGTTAGATGTTGGGTTGGCTTCCGTAGTTTTGTGCCTTTTTTTGTTGTTGTTTGTTCCTGCTCCTTGTCCTTGGATTATTGTTTGTTTAATAAATACTGCATTTGCATCCTACTCTGCTTCGTCTCTGAGTTCCTCCACATAACACTTACTTTCAAGTTATTCAAAACAGGTATGAGTTTTTATCTTCTGGAGTCAATTTTGGCTACTCTTTGGTTACCAAAATTACTCAAAATATCTTCTGTGTTCAACAAAAGAAATAAGCTAACTCATACTGGTTTAGAATGACTTGAGGGTGAGTTACCAGCAAGACTTGACTGGTCAATTATCTTCAACAGAATTACCATGCCTGTACCATAATTTTATTTATTTATTTTTTTGTTATTGGTTGAACAGCACCGCTATGCTAGACCGCCAGTTAAACCAGCTAAGAAAGCTGGTCTTTTCAGCAAGCAAGTCAAGCGTGACAACACCTCTAGACCTAATAATCACCCTGACTCTATCGTATGGGAAAGGAACGTGGAGGAAAAAGCAGGAGCAGAACAAAATAATCATCCGTGTCTCCTTAAGGTCAACTAAGTCTTGAAGGTTACTGTAACTTACAAAGCAGAACAGCAGGTTTTCAACTACAACTGGCTTCAAAGCTGTTTGATGTGGTTTGGGGCCTCTTGTTGGATAGATTCCGGAACGTAAGTCTGATATTTCATGGTAAAAGAGACTATCATTGCATGTAAAGTAATCTGTCATATTAGCCAGCAAGCTTTTGAAAGACCAGCAGGTAGCCTAATGGCAAAGGATTTGTGGAAGTCAATAGACCCATGCATGAGCATACTATGGCCGGTGCTTATATAAAGACATCATATCTTGGTGATCATCAAAGATGGTTGGAAGGAGTGTAGCCACTTTCAAATATGACCACTTGATAAGTGTGTAAGATCTAAAGACTGCATTTGACTTTGATACATTTTGTGGTTAGTTTCAATGACTTGTGCCAAAGCTTTTTAACTCTGCCAGAAGAATATTCCGAGTGACCCAGTGGCAGTTTTCCAAATCCAAACCACACTGAGGGATTTATCAGCTTGCTGTGGTCAACAAAGGTCATGTTGCTTTCCGTCTCTGACAAATGTAATTTAATGAGAAACATTCAATTCAAAGATGTTACACCCTCACCCAGATCATTCCCAAGAATTATGGCTGATGATGCCCTTGAATTGAAAGGGCATCATCATTTGACCATGTCAAAAGAAAATGTTTAAATGACGATACAACTGTCTGTAATTCAAATAATAAGTTTTATTGTGGGGATGGATGTGTTGTTTGCTTTTTCACTCATATGTTCTTTTATGTTGGTTCGAATTTATCTTTTTATGTATTTATTATCTTTATATAAATATATATTATAATTTTTTTTTTTTTTCAGTGACACTTGAAAAACCTTGATATGTATCTTCAGGAAGGTGTCTCATGTGTTTCACTGAACTAAGGATAACCTTGGAAGACTATTATTACCATAGCAACCAGGATGAAGAAATACTTGTTGTGCAATAAACTGTGTGGTCCATGTTTAATTTTGAACTTACATAGGCCTTTTTTATTATTATTATTATGTCAAGATATGACAGAGGTTAGCAACACCAAGGTCACTGGTTTTATTCCCAGACAATGCATGAAAACTTTTAAAATATAATATGGTTTTTATAACAGTCCATCTCAGTCCAAGTTATCTCAAAAGAGACATAAAAGTGTTTCTTTATTTTAGGTGAACAGCAATATACTGTATGTATTCCCTTTTTTTCACCACAGTTATAAATCATTCTACTGTTGTTTCTTGAATGAGGCCCAATGTACAACTATGTATATTTTTCGTAATGGTAGGCAATTCAGATTTAATATTATTACATCCTGAAAACTTATGGAAAATTGATTTAATAATATTTTCAGTTTGGAATGTGGGAGGGTAAATTATAATAGAAACTTCATTTTTGGGGGTGAAGCAGCCTGTTAAGTTGCCCACATGTATGTTGTCTTTGTATTTAATGGAGAAAAAAATATGGAAGTGCAACTAACTAACTAACTAACTAAATCAATAAATAGATAAATAAACAAATAAATAAATAGTTCAAGTTTAGCTGTTCGTGCACTCTACTCCAGAATCTGATCCAATGCTTGAATTTTTTGTTTGGTTTTGGGAACAGAACAAACAAAACTCCATTCAATAGCCACTCTAGATACTTAGGAAACAAACTGTTATAGCAGCAAAATTAGAAATTAGGGTATTATGATTTCCGGGATCCAGTCATGAAATTGGAATTTACTGTATACCTTTATACAATAAACAAAAAGTCTGCTTTAAATATGAAGTCTGCTTGTTCTGTGTGTCTTTGGGTAAATGAGTGGTGCATTAATAAAACAATGACAACCATATGCTCTTTCTGTCAGGAACTAGTGTACTTTCATAGAAATATCTTTGTGTCTCAAATGCAAAGAAACAGGCATTGTGATTTCCAGGATTCCTCAGACGTATTTTGTCTTTTTCTAAAGTTCATACCCCAGAAAGTCCTGCAGTGCTTGCAAATCGATTTCTGATCCCAAGTCATTATTAATTATGATATTGCACCCCGTTATGAATATAAAACTGTAATTAATGCGTAATGGAGATTTAGTGAGCCACTTTTAGATGTCATTTTGATTCATTGTGATTCATAGAATCCAATGCAAATGTTTCAAGTGCCAAAGATATACCCACAGGCTCATTAGAGCTTTCTGATTTTTTTCTCCACGTTCACACAGTGAAAAAAAATTGTGATGAAAAGGCAGGGAGACTTTGAGGGAGACTCTGAGACTCTGACCTTACTGCATATGCACTTGTAGGAGTTTCCTTTTTAGATCCAAAATTTATGTGAGGAGAATATGAGTCATGCAAGGTGCTTTGAAGAAGAAAATCATGGTTTGCGTTTATGCTAATTTCCATAATGATTATTGCTACTGAGTTCAATATCAATAATTGAGTTCAATATCAATAATGGTGATTACATTAATCATTATGGAAATGTGCTGGGTGGTTCTGTGTTCTTTAATTTGCGCATTGTCAATAGATAACCCGCAGAACTTTCCACTTGGGGCAACTTACCCCAGTTTGGACCATCTTACCCCACTTGTAATATTTACCATTTTGTGCTATGACACACACACTATAAAATAAAGTACAACCAAAAATAGTATTCTCTGCTAACCAGCTACATCAGAGAACTGGAATAAACATTTTTTTGTAAATAAGAAATATTATTGATTGCAAAGGTACCTGTTGTATCGCATTAGTTATTTAAATAAAAAGTGCATAAAATGAGATAAGATCATTTTGGAGAAATTAACAAAATAAAAACAGTGTTCATATGACACTGTACATTATATACATACATACATGCATATAGATAGATAGATAGATAGATAGATAGATAGATAGATAGATAGATAGATAGATAGATAGATAGATAGATAGATAGATAGATAGATAGATAGATAGATGTGGTTTGAGTCTTACCTCTCAGGTCCCTCAAGATATCTTGGAGAGGTGAGATGTCCAAGTCGCAACATCTAACTTCTGGGGTGCCTCAGGGCTCAGTTCTTGGACCACTTTATAGTGTTCATATGACACTTTACATTATAGATAGATAGATAGATAGATAGATAGATAGATAGATAGATAGATAGATAGATAGATAGATAGATAGATAGATAGATAGATAGATAGATAGATAGATGTGGTTTGAGTCTTACCTCTCAGGTCCCTCAAGATATCTTGGAGAGGTGAGATGTCCAAGTCGCAACATCTAACTTCTGGGGTGCCTCAGGGCTCAGTTCTTGGACCACTTCTCTTCTCTGTCTACATGGCATTACTAGGTTCTGTCATTCAGAAACATGGTTTTTCATATCACTGCTATGCTGATGACACTCATCAGCATAGCACACTAAGTACTAAGTAATGACACACTAAGTAATGTTTATTTAACTAAGAAAATGTGACTGGGACATGAATTTACATTTGATTAAAAAAATAATAATAATAATAAAAAAAACTGCACACCACTGATATATATTTCTGAAAACATTGTAGCTACTCAGTTAAGGTGACAGTTTGAGATTTACCATTATTTGTACTTTTATAAAGAAGTATTTGTACCATTGTATTTGTGTAGAAAATGGTACGATTGGATTTGTTCACAGAATCAAAGCATCTGCTAAATGACAAATAACAAATAGCTTTAATAAAGAAACTGCATAATTGAACTTTGTCTGAGGCAAAGAATTCCTTATATTGTATGCCTTTCTTCTCACATAATAAAATAGTATCCACTCAAATTAATAGTTAATGTCTGTCTATCTATCTATCTATCTATCCATCTATATATACGTATATATGTATATATATATATATATATATATATATATATATATATATATATATATATATATATA